AAACCCTTAAGGACTCCTGGGCACGTTGGGCTTGGGGGGCTCGGCACCGGGGGGGGGGGGGTTTAAAGGGCTTCAGAGGTTCAGAAGTGAGGGGGTTTAGTGTTTAGAGTTTAGGGTCTAGGGTTTAGGGTTAAGGGTTTAGGGGTTTAGGGTTTAAGGGGCTTAAAGGTTCGATACGAAGAACGGAAAAATCCGGAAATGATTGGATGTGAGTGACGTAAGTTGCCGGAAATGATGAGATATGAGGAACGGAAAAATCCGGAAAAGATGAGATACGATGAACGGAAAAATGTGCAAATGATTGGATGTGAAGGACGAAAACTCCGGAAATTGTGGAATATGAAAGACAGAAATTTCCGGAAATACTGAGATACGAAGAACGGGAACATGCGAAAATGATTGGATATGAGTGACGGAAATTGCCGGAAATTAGATGAACCGAAATTTGTGGAATATGAAAGAAAATGATGAGATAGGAAGAACGGGAAAATCCGGAAATGATTGCACATGAATGGCGGATATCGACCGAGTTTATGGACATGGCATCGGGCGTGGTCGGGGTCACGTACCCTTTATGGCAATTCAGGCCCCGAGCCAGGCCAGGGTCACGGGCACGCTCATAGCCACGGCCACTGTCTCGCCCACGCACATGGGCATGGCCCCGATCAGGGCCTCGGACTAGGCCTCGCTCAGGGCCGAGTCCATGAACTTGACCATGGCCCTGACCGAGTACATGGACCGGGCCTTGAACGAGTCCCTGATCACGGCCTTGGCCTTGCTCGTGTCCTTGACCGCGTTCCAGAACGGGGCTATGATCATGGCTATGGCGCAGTCCCAGCACAGGGCCGGGTCCAGGCTATTGGCCGAGCGCACGCACTTGTTCGAGTACAAGACCATGGCCCTGTACATGGACCTGGTCAGGTTCATGTTCGCGACCAAGCCATTGTCCGAGGGCATGAACTTGGCCAGGCCCCTGATCAAGGCCGAAGTCTTAAGGGGCTTAAGGTTCAGAAGTGAGGGCGGCTCGAGGCTTCCGGGCTTGCGCGAGCTTTCAGGGGGCTCTAAGGTTGCAGGGGTTTGAAGGTTTTGGGGTTTAGGGGGTTTAGGGTTTAGGGCTTAGGGTTTAGGGTTTAGGGGTTTAGGGGTTTTAGGGTTTAGGGGTTTAGGGGTTTAGGGGTTTAGGGGTTTAGGGGTTTAGGGGTTTAGGGGTTCGGGGTTTAGGGGTTTAGGGGTTTAGGGGTTTGGGGGTTTAGGGGTAGGGGTTTAGGTGTGTAGGGGTTTAGGGGTTTCGGGGTTTCGGGGTTTAGGGGTTTAGGGGTTTAGGGGTTTAGGGGTTTAGGGGTTTAGGGGTTTAGGGGTTTAGGGGTTTAGGGGTTTAGGGGTTTAGGGTTTACGAAGCTTGCAACCCTACCTGCGCCCACCAAACATGGTCGAGCGGCTAGGTAGGCCAGGGGACATGTGACGAAGACATACAAAGTCCTGAGTCCATGTCTCCAGACGGATAAGCCGTATAAAGGCCGGTGGTCTCTTTATCTGTTATCCTTACACCCTCATGTAGCCCCCAGATACCCCAGTAACAACCCCCTAGAAAACAGAAACCCTACTTAAAGAGACCACCAACCAATATAAGATAAGCTCAGAAACCAAGGAACAAGCACAGGCCCGGACACGTAGCCATCTTTGTCTCAAAAAAGGTCCAATTTCTCGGGTATTCGCGAGTGCACGTTTCAAGTTGGAAAGGGCTTAGGGGTTGGCATAGGCTACCCTGCGAGTCATTCGAGGGCTAAAAAGCACGTGCAAGATAGGTTCAGGGTATCGAAGTATTGGGATGAACAAAAGGCTTCAGGATGAGGATAAAAAATGCGGGAAAGTTTCAGTGCAAAACGCAGAGCTTGGATATTGGGTGTAGGGCCCAGGCAGTTGATATTCACGTTATATGAAGTAGAGTACATATTTCTTGTACCCCCAAAAGGACACACAATATATGCACTCACCAATATTAAAAAGGAACCTTATATACACTCACCAATGAAAACCCTGTGTCATATAGGGATCATACGGAGCGTAAGGTCGGTGATTACTTAGGCTTGCTGTAACCTTTGGTTGTATTCCCCAAACCCCCCCCCTATAAAGCACCAATAAACCTCTCAAACCCGCCGACAGTGCCTTGAGTCTGCCTAAAAACCCCTTCAAACCCGATGCTCTGATGCTTTCAGGTGCTGCAGGGGCTGAGGCCTTCTCTGTGCCCAGGCACCAGACCGTGTAGAGACCCAGGATGAGGCGGTTGACCAGAAGCAGCCAGGGCCACCTAGCGGGGGATTTTGGGATTGAGGGTATGGGATGCTGGGTTTTAGGGTTTCAGGGTTTTAGGGGTTTAGGGATTTAGGGATTTAGGGTTTTAGGGTTTTAGGGTTTTAGGGTTTTAGGGTTTTAGGGTTTTAGGGTGTTAGGGTTTTAGGGTTTTAGGGTTTTAGGGTTTTAGGGTTTTAGGGTTTTAGGGTTTTAGGGTTTTAGGGTTTTAGGGTTTTAGGGTTTTAGGGTTTTAGGGTTTTAGGGTTTTAGGGTTTTAGGGTTTTAGGGTTTTAGGGTTTTAGGGTTTTAGGGTTTTAGGGTTTTAGGGTTTTAGGGTTTTAGGGTTTTAGGGTTTAGGGTTTAGGGTTTCGGGTTTAGGGTGTAGGGTTCAGGGATTAGGGTTTAGGGTTCGAGGGCTTATAGGGTTACGGCGCGCCTATCCTCCGTGGCACCACGTGGGCCACAGACATCCCTGAAGGCCCCAAAAACACCCTACCGCCTCCTCAAAAAAGAATCCAAAAGCTGAAACTTGGGATGTTCCCCCTTATACAAACAGTCCTTAAGTAGGGATTCTAGTACCCCCTATGATGGTCCCTATGAAGGACTGTGAGTATAAGGAGGAACATCCCCAAAACCCGGAAAAAAGAACCCAAAAACCTTCCCCCGACACCCCGGCAACTCTAATTTTTTTCTTGGCTGGCATCCTTCAGGTCCGAGATAATATAGGGGTCGGAAGAATTACTAATGGTATTCCCTTAGGGTCCCTTTATATGTATACTATAATAAACCCAAAACCCCGTAAACTCCGTAAACCCCCTAAACCCCCTAAACCCCCTAAACCCTAAACCCCAGTCTAATTATTCAGGCCCTCTTTTATTCTCTGGGCAGAACTCTCCCCCAGAACTGGAGGGCAGACCCAACTACCCCAGGCTCGACATCGACTTAGACAGCTTTAAAGATGCGCCCGGCCTCCTTTATCATGAGTTTAGGGTTTGGAGTTTAGGGTTTAGGGTTTAGGGTCAAGGGTCTAGGGTCTAGGGTCTAGGATCTAGGGTTTAGGGTTTAAGGCTTAGGGCTTAGGGCATAGGGTTTAGGGTTTAGGGTTTAGGGATGCATCGGTTTGCCAAGCGCCTGGACCTTAGAGCCTGAACCCCGACGACCCTGAGCCCCGAAAAGCCACGTCAAGACTCGAAAACCCCCAAGGGGGGTACAGGGTTTTAGAGCTTGGGGCCCAGGGCTCCCTAAACCCTAAACCCCTAACCCTAAACCCTAAACCTAAATCCTAAACCCTAGACCCTAAACCCTAAACCCCAAACCCTAAACCCTAAATCCTAAACCCGAAACCCTACCCTAAACCCTCAACCCCTAGTGTTTGACCTCTAGGGTTTAGGGGCAATCCCCGGCGCTTGGTGGCCTTCGCGGGCTGCAATGCTTGGCGCCCAGGAACTCCTCAGATTCGGGTTGACACGAGTTGGGGGTGTAGGGTTTAGGGCTTAGGGCTTAGGGTTTAGGGTTTAGGGTGCAGGGTTTAGGGTTTAGGGTTTGGGGGTTTAGGGTTATAGGGTTTTAGGGTTTCGGATGAGGGCTTAATTTAGGGGCCCTCGCTACCCCCTACCCAGGCTCAGGCCCAAGTAAGGCGTAATGAATCGAGGGGATGCTTGGGGCCGTTTTTGACGGTTAGGCTTTGAGGGTTTGAGTGTTTGCGGCCGTGGGCTTCTCTTGATGGGCTCAGGGTTTCGGGTGTTCGGGCTTACGGCTTAGAGTCTCAGGGTCTTTCGGGCTTAGGGCTTAGGGCTTAGGGTTTAGGGTAGGGCTTAGGGTTTAGGGTTTAGGGGTTAGGGTTTAGGGTTTAAGGTTTAGGGTTTAGGGTTTGGGGTTTAGGGTTTAGGGTTCAGGGTTCAGGGCTTAAGGTTTTCGAGGCCGCGGCTGCAGCATCTACGCCAAGAGTCCAGCGCACCGAAGTTCGCGCAGCGGCCCCCCAGCACTTCCAGCCAACTGGCACGCGCACACACCACGAACCCGAAACTCGAACGGCCCTTGACCTCCCTCGTATGCTTTAGATTGTGAGCTTCCATAATATGTATCAGTGACATAATAATATATAACCATAGACCCTAAACCCCTAAACCCTAAATCTCAACTTGAGCAACTCCAGGCTCAGGTCTGGTTGCAGGGGTTTTGCCCGTGTGCCCCCTTCTACTAGCAGTCCTTAATAGGAATTATCGTACCCCCTATGATAATCCCTACCCCTTATACTAACAGTCCTGAATAGGGATTCTAGTACCCCCTGTGATAATCCCTACCCCTTATACTAACAGTCCTTATTAATAAGGGTTCTAGTAACCCTTATTGTAATCCCTCCCTTATACGAACAGTAGGGATTCTAGTAACCCCCCAGTATTCATCTCTCCTCAGGAGCTGTTCGTAGAAGGGAGAACATCTTGTGAAATCTTTTGTCGGCCTTGCCGGCTCCCAATCTACCACCTCTACAACCCTGAACCCGATAAAAATAATATACAAAAAACACCAACCCCCCCCCCCACACCCAAAAAAAAAAACAAACTACACCCACAGACACGCCAGAAAACAACACAAAAACAACCGTAAACCCTAAACCCTGAACCCTAAACCCTTAACCCCAAACCCTAGACCCTTAACCCCAAACCCTAAACCCTAAACCCTAAACCCTAAACCCGAAACCCTAAACCCTAAACCCTAAACCGCAGCCGGAGCCACCAGGCTGAGAGCAAGGTGGTCCCCGCACTCAGGAAGGCCAGCGCGGAGCTCGCCACCAGGTCGCGGTAGTCCGGGCCCAGGGACATGTCCTGGGGGGTTTAGGGTGTAGGGTTTAGTGTTTAGGGTTTAGGGTTTAGGGTTTAGGGCTTAGGTTTCAGGTTCTAGGGTCTAGGATTTAGGGTTTAGGGTTTAGGGTTTAGGGTGTAGAGTTTAGGGTTTAGGGTTTAGGGTTTAGGGTATAGGGTTTAGGGTTTAGGGTTTGGGGGTTGGGGTTTAGGGTTTAGGGTCTTCGGGGCTTGGTACTCCTGGGATTATCGGGTTTAGGAACCTTTTAACTTTGAGAGAGGTTGTTTAGCCTTCAGGCTTTCCACCTGTGTGGCACAGCGGGATCATTAACCCAAACCACCCAAAGCAACCCTGCTTGGAGATTCATGGGTAGTTTAAGAAAGGTTATAAGTAGCCTACATGGGGTCATATGTATAGCTACCATAGCTTAACCCCGACTTACAACTACCCATGTAAGCCCACGCAAAAAAAGGGGCGGCGGAATTCCTAATCATTACAATAACCCCCAAAAAACCCTATTCTAGGTATTCAGGCCCCTGAACCCTACACCCTAAACCCTGAACCCTAAACCCTGAACCCTAAACCCTGAACCCTAAACCCTAAACCCTAAACCCTAGCCCCTAAACCTAAACCCCAGCCCCTAAACACCAAACCCTATTCCAATTATTTAGGGGATGCCCAACCCCGAAGTTCCTCGAAAGCTCGAAAAGCCGGCCCCCAAACCCCCAAACCCGAAACCCTAAACCCTAAACCCTAAACCCTAAACCCCTAAACCCTAAACCCTAAACCTAAACCCTAAACCCTAAACCCTGAACCCAAAGTTGGACGCAGGGTACTCTGAGTCGTGAGTCGGACTTGAATCGGTGGAGTGGGATTCAAGGTTCAACGGGTTTAGGGCGGCTGAGGGTTTCGGGGATTTTTTTCGGGGTTGATCTGCCTCCATCCCTTGTGATTTTGGGCCAGGCTGGGGCACGGCTGGAGGTGGCAACCCTAAACCCTAAACCCTGAACCCTGAACCCTAAACCCTCAACCCTCAACCCTCAACCCCCAACCCTAAACCCTCAACCCTCAACCCTGAACCCCTAACCCTAAACCTTCAACCCTCAACCCCTAACTCTAAACCCCAAACCCTAAACCCTCAACCCTAATCGCGCCCTGACTCATGCCTCGGAGCGGCATAGCCGCCCTCTCTCCAAGGGAACACCTGAAGGGGTTTGGTGTCAGGGTCTGCGAAGGGTTTGGGGGTTGGGGTGGTTTAAGGTGGTTCAGGCCTTAGGGTTGTTAAAGGATAGCTTTCTGGGGCTTCTCAGGTGAGCGGGTTTGTCCTTGGCTTCGCAAGACGGTGAAGTCCCATGAGAACCGCGTGCAAAGAAACAGCCCTAAACCCTAAACCCTAAACCCCAACCAGCACAAGCCCCGAGTTCCCAAGCACCAGCAGCAGCAACCCTCGAATCCCCAAGCCCTGAACCCCTCAACGGCCCCAAACCGTGCACAAACCCTTGAATCCTAAACCCCTACCCCCTAAACCCTAAACCCAAAACTCTCCCTACGGGTTCACTTCCAATGTGGTTTTTCGGAAGGAAAATGTGAATAAATTCGAGGTTTTGGTCAAGGAGCCCTTGTATGTTACTTGGGAGGACATACGTTTTGTTGTGTTGTCTGGCGCTCTCATCGTGCGGACATGGATGCTCTGGCCATTTGCACGCACTGGTCACAAGGACGTTCTCATCGTGTGGGGGAAAAGGGTTTACAAAACCCAGCGACTTCAGGTGAAGAGCTATGGATTGGGCGGGATTACCCCCCTCCCACTCCCCCCCCCCCCCCCCCCCCCCCCCCCCCCCCCCCCCCCCCCCCCCCCCCGCAACCCCAACAACGTTTTGCGATCAAAATTGCACAGGACAGCCGACAGCACGTCACACCGTGCGCAAGCAGAAATGTGGCACACGCAGCATTGTTGTGACAGGCCACAGAAACCGTGAAAACGTGCTTGCGTTTTGGGCCTGGCCCAAAACGCAAGCACGGAAGAATTTTCGGCAGAGACACCTTTTGGGTCCGTAGCTTCCCGCATGAGTAAAAAAACCATGTAAAAACCGACGATTTTCCAGCATTTTGGAGAAAGAGCCGGGGCAACCCAGATGACAGCGTGAGCGTGCAAGTCGTGAAATCCGCACATTGCAACTGAACCCGTAAGCTAAACCCTAAACCCTAAGCCATAAACCCTAAACCCTGAAAAAAAAAAAAAAAAACTCCCAAAGACGCCTGCCAGAGCCGCAGGCAGAGGACCGCGGCTATGAGGAGGTCCGCAGTGAAGATGTTCAGGATCCTTGCGTTTAGGGTTTAGGGTTTAGGGTTGAGGGTTTAGGGTTTAGGATTGGATCCGCCAACCCTGGAGGCGTTGGATAGGTTTCTGGAGGTGAAAACCTCCCTTTTTCCCTCAGCCCCTCTAAAACGCGGGGGGGGGGGGTAGGGGGGGTACCCCGGCAGCTTTTCCGTGGAGGGCCAGGCCAACCACACCGCGTGTACTCATGGACCATAGGCGGTTTCGCACAGGGCATAGGGGTTTTTTGGGAAAAAAAAACCCACTTTTTCCCACCGCCCTGCCCACCCCCTCCCCCCCCCCCCCCCCCCCCTCCCCCCCCCTCCCCCCCCCCCCCCCCCCCCCCCTCCCCCCCCCCCCCCTCACCCCCCCCCCCCCCCACCCCCTTCTTCCTACACTTGAGGGTTTCGGCTGTAGGGTTTAGGGTCTTGGCGCCGCAGCACGCTGCGCCGCTTGAGCCCTGAACAATGCTCCGGCGGGGTCGGCGGCTTGAGCCGGAGGCTCTTAAATTTAGGGTTTAGGGTTTAGGGTTTAGGGTTTGGGGTTTGGGTTTCAGGGGTTTAGGGGTTTCGGAGGTTGGAGGTTCAGGGTTTAGGGCTACACGTATCCCTGCAGATACATATACACATTGGTTCTTCATAGCATCTCTTCGAGTTTTGGGGCATTGCTTGAGGGTGGGCCCCTATCGTTTTTCGAGGAGAAGTATTTCAAACCAGAAGGCATGCAACTTCAAGACAAGCTTGGATCTACATTAGCTTTGTCCGATGCTCATATGGGGTTTAGGCGGGGATGATCATTCCACGGCGCGCATTCCTCCACCTCCCCCCAGTACAAGTAAAGAAGATGCTGGGGTGGTGAGGCTTAGTACAGAGGGAAGCTTCAAGACACTGAAATTCTCAAGTTTCCGAAGAAATCTCAAGCCCCGAACCCCCTCCTCCCGCAACAAAACAAGGAAAGCGCACACGCATGGGGGGTCTCTCTAAATCATGGCCCCTCTTTGTGCTCCGGTTGCACTACGGAGGCTCCCTCATCACTGGGGCAGACCCCATTTAGAGAACTACCTACACACACAACTGTGAGTCTCAAGTTGCCAGCATGCGGCGTTAGAAGCAGTGTGAGCAGGAGAGGCGCGTTCCGCTGCAGAAGCTCGAACAAGCCTCGGCATAGGAAGCTCAGAAATTCGGAGTTTCGGGTTGAGGGCCGTTTGAAGTGAGGATTGAGGCTCGGACTTAGAGGCTTATATTGTAGGGGGGGATTGGGGTAGTCCTTTTGAGCAGCCTCCACCATCGTACCTCATCGGGGTCCCCGATCCGCAGGGGTACCCCCCCCAACTGCAGGAGCACTGTAGGATCGGGGGGTTTAGGGTTTAGGGTTCAGGGTTCAGGGTTTAGGGTTTGGGGTTTAGGGTTTAGGGTTTAGGGTGTCTTCACGGGATTTGCAAGTTTCGGGATTCAGGGCTTCAGGGCTTTGCTTCAGGGCGCTGGGGGCAGTTCGGGAGCCCTAAGCCAAACTGCAGGTTCCCGCAGTGCCAAAAGTTGGTTGAAGGTTTGGGTCTAGGGTTTAGGGTTTAGGGTTTAGGTTGAGAGCGTGTCTGCAGCTGAGGTAGTTAGAGAGTTCCGACCCGAAGCCCTAAACCCTAAGCCCTAAACCTAAGCCCTAAGCCCTAAGCCCTAAACCCTAAACCCTAAACCCTAACCCCAAACCCTAAACCCTAAACCCTAAACCCTAAACCCTAACCCTAAACCCTAAACCCCAGACCGGCCTTCCCCTCGGATGCTCTGCCAGGTCCGAAACTCGCCCGAGGGGTCGCCGGTCCTTACCGCAGACTTGCAGCCCGCAGGTTGCCATGGTTTGGGGTTTAGGTTTTAGGGTTAGGGGTTTAGGGTTTAGGGTTTAGGGTTTAGGGTTTAGGCTTTAGGCTTTAGGCTTTAGGCTTTAGGGTTTAGGGTTTAGGGTTTAGGGTTTAGGGTTTAGGGTTTAGGGTTTTAGGGTTAGGGTTTCGGGCTTCGCGTTTCGGGTTTCGGGTTTCGGGTTTCGGGTTAGGGCGGGTGAGGGGTTTCGGGTTTCGGGTCCGGCTTTAGGAGCTTTTGGGGCTTTCGGGGGGTTAGGTTCAGGGCTTCGGGGCAGGAATCCTTGCTGGCCTGAAATTTATACCCCAACTGAACTCCAAACCCCAACCCCCAAGACCCAAACCCTGCAACATCATGCATATGTGTGTATGTACATATATATAGAAATATAGGGCGAGATATTTGTACATTAATATCTAAGATGCTCTACTATGTATATTTCTTACGATGTGTAGTATGAAGCAGCCGCCCTCAACCTTAAACCCAAACTCTCTGAACCCTAAACCCTAAACCCTAGACCCTAAACCCTAAACCCTAAACCTCAAACCCCTAAACCCTAAACCACTAAACTCCCGGGACCTGGCGGAGAAGCGCACGCCCGTCACCTTGCAGGCACACACAGACGCGTCCCTAAGCCAACAACCTTAAACGCCCTAAGCACCCCAGAGGGTTTAGGGTTTAGGGTTTGGGGTTTAGGGTTCAGGGTTCAGGGTTCAGGGTTCAGGGTTTGGGGTTTTGGGGTTTAGGGTTTAGGGCTTTGCTATTGGCATTACATTGTCTCCAAAGAGCCTAACCTAAACCATAAACCCTAAACCCCAATAGGGCTTAGACAGGCAAGTGAGGGCTTGACTGGTCTGGGCTGGTCGTACCCTCATAGCTGGGTGTTTGGTGCTTAGGGTTTCGGGGGTTTAGGGTTTGAGGTTTGGGGCCTTGGGGGGGTTTTGGGGGATTTTGGCAGAGCTGCGAATCTCCACCAGGCAAACCGGATTCCCATTCCCATTTCTCCGGCAGCCATGGCAAAGCTTGGCAAGTGACAGCCCAGAACCCTGCTGTGCTTAGACCCATACAAATTAAGGGCTCATACATCAGAACCCGTTAAAGGAGGTTAGGGACCATATTAAGGGCCCATGAAAGTACCCTTGGAGGCGAACAGCAGCATCAACCCCAAGCTCTGAATGTCTCGAAAAAAGGCTTAGAACGTCCGCTACACAACCCTCACCAAGCCCCTTCTGGGTCTTTGGGGCTGTCAGGCCCTCACCCTAAACCCTCAACCCGAGTCCGCAAACTCTATAAAGTTTCTATAAACCCGAAGGACCGAAAAAAAGTTTCGCGACGAGTCCAGCTTTCTGCTTGGGAGGTCTGAAGGGATGAGAGGCATCAGGTTTCTAGGGTGTTGGGTTTAGGGTTTAACGCTTTGGGCTTTGGGCTTTGGGCTTTGGGTTTAGGGTTTAGGGGTTGAAAGCTTAAGGTTTAGGGCTTAGGGCTCAAAATTCAAGGATCAGGGAGGCCATGCAAATCATGAAAGGTGCGGACCCCCGCCTCCGCCTGATGGAAGATGCGAACCTCCCCGCCGCGATACCAGGTGGCCTTGTCTTACCGGTTCTGAGCAGGGAGCTTAGGTTGGGATGTTCCCCCTTATACTAGCGGTCGTTCATGGGATTAGAGGGAGTATTCGTAATCCCTCCTAAGGACTGTTAGCACAAGGGGGAACATCCCAGAGTTCAGGAATGGCTTACCCTAAACCCTAAACTCTAAACTAAACTTCACTGCCATGGGCGGTTCGAGGGAGCCGAACCGAACACTCAAGAGGTCTGCAATGACGAGCTCGACACTTTCTTCAGAGAAAATCACCACCGAGCTGGCTTTTGGGGTTTATAGGGTATAGGGTTTAGGGTTTAGGGTTTAGGGTTTAGGGGGCTTACGGGGGTTTCTAGGGTATCCCTGAATCAGCCAATCACCAAACAATCTGAAAAAACAAAGCTCACCCAACCCCTAAAGCCTCAAACCCTAAACACGAAAATGCCTAATACCCCTAAAATAACCCTAAACCCTAAACCCCCTAAGGCCCTAAAACCCTCAGTCCTCGGAAACCGAGGTCCTCAGTGTCCCCAAATACAGGAAATCCCTTACAAGGAGGAAACAGAAGCCTCGAGTCATGTGCTTAGGGCATTTTGGGGCTTGGGGTTTAGGTCTTCGGTGAGGTGGCCTCCCGCGCCAGACAGCGTCCGGTTGGCTTTCGTCATGCTGCTGGAAGGCTCATGGGTACATATTTTCGTAGGGCTGTATCTAAACCCTAAACCCTAAACCCTAAACCCTCAACCCTCAACCCCAAACCCTAAACCCTAAACCCCCAAAGCTACCGTGCTGAACCTCCAGGAACCCACGGCACTGATTGTGATCTTGGCTTGGTCTTCGACAAGACTCCAAGCCAACGCTAGGCCTACAATTAAGGGTTTAGGGTTTAGGGTTTAGGATTTAGGGTTTAGGGTTTTGGGTTTGGGGTTTAGGGTTTAGGGTTTAGGGTTTAGGATTTAGGGTAAACCCTAACCTTCAATTCCACACCGGGGCTTATAGGCTCTTTGAACAGCACTCGAGGCCCAAAGGAACTTGGCAAGCCGCCTGTCCGGACAGGCGATTTATGGACAGGCGCTCGCAGATCTCCACACCTGTGCAAGGGGTTACTTGGAGGTTCAGTTTAGGGTTAGGGTTTAGGGTTTAGGGTTTAGGGTTTAGGGTTTAGGGTTTAGGGTTTAGGGTTTAGGGTTTAGGGTTTAGGGTTTAGGGTTTAGGGTTTAGGGTTTAGGGTTTAGGGTTTAGGGTTTAGTTTTTAGGGTTTAGGGTTTAGGGTTTAGGGTTTAGGGTTTAGGGTTTAGGGTTTAGGGTTTAGGGTTTAGGGTTTAGGGTTTAGGGTTTAGGGTTTAGGGTTTAGGGTTTAGGGTTTAGGGTTTAGGGTTTAGGGTTCATGGCTAGTCATGAGCAGGGATACAAGTTGCCCTCAATAAGGTTCTAATTGCAGCTACTATGCTCATAACCCTACTTGTATAACTACCCATGAACCTCTAAGTGGGGATCAAGGTTTACTTGTATCTACGCTACATCTTGGAGCGTGTCTGTCCTCTGGGCCCTAGATGGGAGTTTTCGAAAATAGCCCTATTCTGGGAAATACCCCGATGCAGCCGATGCAGTTGATCAGCACCCTTTGGGGGGATTCCCTGGCATAGCTCTCAACCTTGGCTTAGGTTACCAAAGGCGGCCCCTGAATTAGGTCGACCCATATATTATCGGAGTTGCTGAAGGTTCCAGGGTAGTTTTGCGTAGGGGCTACAGAAGGTTGTAACCTTATACACTTTAGTTATAACCTTACTTCTCATACTTGGAGCCAGCGCTAGAACGGCTCCCACCCCTGGAGCAAGCCCCATGAGAAACCCTCAACCCTCAACCCCAAACCCTAAACCCTAAACCCTAAACCCTAAACCTAAACCCTAAACCCCGTTGCCGCACCTTTGCCATCCTTGTGCGTGTATTTGAACTCGGTGCAGTGGGCGCGCTTGCTTTCTGGCGACTCCGTACTCACGGGCGGAGACATGGCGCCAACGACGTGAAGCTTCACATAAGAAAGTTGTCCTAAACCCTAAACCCTAAACCCCAAACCCTAAAGCCTAATTGGCAATACTGAGGCAACTGCTCTTTTTCACAATGTCTCCAGAGCTCACAGCTCACAGCTCAAAGTACGGGCCGTTTTTGCTGTCTGCGGCTGTAAGTGAGGCATGCATCTAGACACCCTAAACCTTAAAACCCTAAACCCTAAACCCTAAACCCCAAACCCTAAACCCTAAACCCTAACCATGCGAGCGGCGACGTCCTGCGCATGACGTACTACCTGGATCCGAGACAAGCAGCGAGCGCCAAGCCCAGAAATCCTGGCTGCCGTGGCAGAGCCTAGCCCCCTCGCTGGGTTTGGGGTGCAGATTCTGGGGCTTCAGGGTTACAGAGTTTAGAGATCTAGGGTTCAGGGCTAAGGGTTTAGGACGAGGGTTGGGGGTTGCGGGCTCAGGGTTTGCGATGCCAGGTGAAGGTGCCCTGTGTTCGCTTAAGTTGCTTCTGCACAGCACATTGATGCTTCACTCCCCTTCCAAAGCCCGAAACCCCGCATCCCTGAAACTCGAAATCCGGGCCCAGGGATCTGTTGGTACCTTTCGGCCCCCCAGCCCTAAGACCCTCAACCCTCAAACACTGTAAGCCTGGACTAAACCAAAAACTTCGGATGTTCCACCTTGTACTAACAGTCCTTAATCGGGATAATAATTGGGGGGGTACTATAACTCCTACCAAGGACTGTTAGTATAAGGGGTAACATCCCAACCCAAACCCCAATTGTAAGTCTACCTATAACCTACTTAGAGGATGTAGGGGACTTAGGGGGCTTGTAAGTACAGTTATCATTGGGGGTTGCAAGTACCCTGAGCCTCCAAGTAAACCCTAAACCCTAAACCCTAAACCCTAAACCCTAAACCCTAAACCCTAAACCCTAAACCCTAAACCCTAAACCCTAAAACGTAACGGCACCTGAGGCCAGCACTCAGGGCGGAGTGCCCGTTCTTCGTCCTTCACTACAACGCAGGGCTCTGAGCGAATGGAGGGTTCAGGCTTTAGGGTTTAGCGCTTACGGTTTAGGGTTTAGGGTTTAGGGCTTAGGGTTTAGGGTTTGGGGTTTAGGGTTTAGGGTTTGGGGTTTAAGGTTTGGGGTTTAGGGTTTAGGAGGAGGGGCCTGGGTACTTGGAGGATCATGGGACTTAGTAAGTAGGGGACTTAATAAGTCGGGTTTTTAAGTACCCTAATTGGGGTTATAAGTACTTGCAACCATCGTTGCCCTAGTTGTAACCCTACTTGCTAAGCCCCCTGATCCTTTGAGTATGGTTCGGGGTGCACGTTAAACCCCAACATCCAGCCAAACCCTTAAATGTTAGTCTGCTCCTTGTACTCCCAACCCCCCCCCCCCCCGATCTTCAACATTTGTGTGACCAGACCCTGTCCGACACCCAGCCCAGTATGCCTACTTCAGAATTTTGGGGCCCCCAAACCCGAGTCCTAGACCCTAAACTCTAAACCCTGAACCGAGTTTTTTTTGGGGAGGAAGCGGAGGCTTTCAAGCGTTAGGGAAGTCGGGCGCCAGGCTTGGGATGCGACCCTCCGTGAGCTCTGGCGACCCTGCGTGCACCTTCGGGCGGCCTTCAAAGATTTTTCATACCATATGCATACCTATTGCTACTACTATTACATTCACATATATATATATATATATATATAAGACAATGCATATATATATATATATATATATATATATTATAATTATATATATATATACATACCAATTCCTTGTCCAAGCCCGGAGAAAAGCCCTAAGCCCTACAGCCCTCCCCTGAAGTCCAAACCCTCAGCCCCTCAGCCCCCTCAGCCCCCTCAGCCTCCTCAGCCCCCTCAGCCCCCAAACCCTAAACCCTAAACCCTAAACCCTAAACCCTAAAGCCCCTCAGCCCCTCGAGCACGCCAGGCTGGGAGGCGCGCGTGAGGTCGCAGTCCGCCCGCGCCTTCAGCAGTTCCTCTTTGACCCACGCCACACAGGTTTAGGGTCTAGCGTTTATAGGGTTTAGGGTTTAGGGTTTAGGGTTTAGGGTTTAGGGTTTAGGGTTTAGGGTTTAGGGTTTAGGGTTTAGGGTTTAGGGTTTAGGGTTTAGGGTTTAGGGTTTAGGGTTTAGGGTTTAGGGTTTAGGGTTTAGGGCACAGGGTGCAGGGTCTATGGGGAGCTTGGGGCTTAGGGTCTACAGCATATACAGGGACTCTGAGGGCTTTGGGAGATTGGCGGCTCCTGCTTTGAAACCTGCATGCCTGTCACTCGTGCAGATGTCGTGCGTCAACTCATTGACCCTTGCGGGGTAGATCGAGTCAAAAGACACGACGCAGGCCGCTGGACAAACCGAATTTGGGCAGCTCGGTCGTGGAGGGCTGTCACAAGTGGGTGCCGCCCCCCCAAGCCTATGAGGCCCACAAATGCATTCCAATGCACACGCAACATTGCAGGGCGAAAAGCCTGCCATTCTGGGATTTCATGTGCAGGGGGAGGTCAGCGCCCCACAGCAAAAAATGTCTGGCCAAAGCCCGAGCACCATGCTGATGCACGACAATGCTCGTGCATGTTTGCGGCGTGTTTCTTCGGGTTTAGGGTTTAGGGTTTAGGGTTTAGGGTTTAGGGTTTAGGGCTTAGGGTTTAGGATTTAGGGTGCAGGGTTTAGGGTTTAGGGTTTAGGGTTTAGGGTTTAGGGTTTAGGGTTTAGGGTTTAGGGTTTAGGGTTTAGGGTTTAGGGTTTAGGGTTGCGCTTCCTCAAGCGGGGTGCGGGAGTAGCTCCTTGCAAAGTTGCGAGCCTCTTCTCTGCACATCAACATTGGTACACGCTGTGGTTGTTTCGGGATCCAGAGCTCCCAAAACCCTACAGTAGCCGACAGCCCGACCCCCAAAAACCCAAAAGCCCCTAAACCCCCCTAACTCCCTGATAGCTAAGACCCCCAAGGTTTTGAAGCCCCCCAAGGTTTTGAAGGCCCCAAGGCCCCCAAGGCCCCCCAGGCCCCCCAGGCCCCCAAGGCCCCCAAGGCCGCCAAGCCCCCAAGAAGGCCCCCCAAGGCCCCAAGGTTTTAAGGCCCCCAAGGCCCCCAAGGCTCTCAAGGCCCCCGAAAGCCAAGCCTTAATCGGGGCACCCATGGTTCAGTACGGATGGCTCTATGGCAGGTGAATCCTAAACCCCACACTCTAACGGACCCTGAACCTGAATAGGTTACCAAACCTTGCACAGGGGTTTATGGAGTCTGCAAAGAAGCCGTAAACCCCAAGGTCTCAACCCTGAGGCCCTGAAGCCAGGACCTGATGACACTCATGTCGCTTAGGGTTCGGGATGAGCCACTTGTCCAACCCTGAAGCCCAAGATGTGGGGCCCCAATTTGGGTTTAGGGGTTGACCCCAAAGACTTCAAAACCCCTTAATTAAGGAATATACCTTAAATCATATTTGGGCTCCTATTCTAATTTAAGGTATATTCCTTAATTAAGGGGTTTTGGAGTCTCTGGGACGGTTTAGGGTTTAGGGTTTCTTGGGTTTCAGGCTTGGGCTTCGGGAGGTTGAGGGGTTTCGGGGGAACTTCGGAGAAGATTCCTAAATCCGAGGCCCTAAGCCCGAGAAGCACAAACGGCTAAGCAACAAGCGCGTCCCAGACCCCCAGTAAGCCGAATATTAATTGAATAGCCCGAATAACCCTAATAACCCTAGTAGCCTAACAACCCGAAAAACCCAAATAACCTTAAAAACAGCCCCAACAACCCTAAGAATCCCTGACAACCCCTAACAATCCCTAATCATCCATAATGATCCCTTTGCTCCCTTGTCATCCCTAGAAAAAACCCTAATAATCCCCAATAATCATCATCCCTAATAATCTCCAATAATCTAAGAACCCCAAGTGATCCCTCCAAAACCCTAAACCCGAGACCCGAAACCCGAAACCCTGAACCCCCCCCCTCCAAATCGGAGGACTTTCTCCTCAACGAGGCTGCTTGCGCCCACGGCCGCCGCGTAGTGCAGCGCAGTCATGCCTCTTCGCAGGCTCCCCAGAGGGCAGAACTGAAGGGTTTAGGGTTTAGGGTTTAGGGTTTGGGGTTAGTGTTTAGGGTTTAGGGTTTAGGGTGTAGGGTTAGGGTTTACGGTTTAGGGTAGGGTTTAGCGTTTAGGTTTAGGGTTTAGGGTTTAGGGTTTAGGGTTTAGGGTTTAGGGTTTAGGGTTTAGGGTTTAGGGTTTAGGGTTTAGGGTTTAGGGTTTAGGGTTTAGGGTTTAGGGTTTAGGGTTTAGGGTTTAGGGTTTAGGGTTTGGGGTTCTAGCTTTCACTAGTCACTAGGGGGTTCCAGGCTTTTATAAGAACGGTGCCGACAAACCAAAAATGGCTCAAAAACGGCGCCAACAGACCAAAAATGGCCAAAGAACGGTGCCGACAGACCAAAAATGGCTCAAGAACGCTGCCGACATACCAAAAATGGCTCAAGAACGATTGACCAAAAAGTGCTCAATGGTGCCACAACCCAAAAAGTGCTCAGTTGAGAACGGTCCCAGATTGACCAAAAAGTGGTCAACAACCGAGGGTTAATGCACTAAAAAGTTCATAGGGTTTAAATCTATAAGGATAGAGAGGGTTTAGGGTTTAGGGTTTAGGGTTTAGGGTTTACGGCTTAGGGTTTAGGGTTTAGGGTTTAGGGTTTAGGGTTTAGGGTTTAGGGTTTAGGGTTTCCGTGAACCCAAAACGAAAACCTGAGCATCTGCCGTCTGCAGGCTTCAACCCTCAACCCCAAACCTGTTAGGACATAGGGTGCTTGAGTTATAGGGTTCTTAAGGGAAGCGGATTCAAGGGGGGTAGGGAACCCGAGGTTTCCTACTCCCCAAGGCTCCCTAAGCTTCCATAAGGTTCCTGAGGTACCTACCCCCCTTGAACCTCCCGCCCTCAGGAACCCCATAACCCTAAACCCAAACCCTAAACCCTAAACCCTAAACCC